TATATATATATATATATATATATATATACCTCTATTTCTTTATTTGTTAGTTGGCCTGATGAACGGCGTGGATCCCCGCAGTCTGCAGCGCGGCATGGCGGCGGCGGAAGAACTCCACGCGGCCGGTCACTCCCGCCACGCCGTCGCCGCTCTTCTCGCACTTCTCCGCCCGGCCCTCCTGCCGCCGCACTGCAGGCGCGACGAGATCCGCTGCCGCGTGCGGGCCGCCGAGATTCTCTTCACAATGGCGACTAGTGCCAGTCATGGAAATAGCAATAGCCACAGGGACGGGAGTAGTCGTTGCAGCCATGCGAGTAACAGAAATAGTGTGCCGGCGAATGTGGCTCGATTGGATTTGGTGCAGTCTGTGCTCTCCCCCATGTTCTCCACCCGCCGCTACTTTGAGAGTGTTGTGATTCGCCCGCTGCTGTGGAAAGAGAGTCCATCGCAGCACGTGGAGGATGTGGATGAAGACAGTCGTTTACTGCCGCTGGCGCTACTCCTGCGGGCGTACGTGTTGTCTGCGGAGCTGCAGCGGCGGCGGCTGCGATACGCACAGGCGGTGAAATACATTGAGGCCGCCCAGCAGTGGTGTGCGGTGGTGTTTGCTCCTCCCATCCACACTGCCGTTGAGAAGTCTACGGGTATACAGATCCAACAACAACAAGAACAAGAACAACAATGGGAAGAAGAACGGCGTTGCTGTGAGGCTTTTCTCTCTGTGGAGCTCTGTCGAGTCTATTACGCACAGTTTATGAGTGCAGGAACACCCATCAACGCTCATTATATTCCCAACACAGCCGCCGTACACAATACACGCATGCAGGCCATACAGTCTCTATTACGTTATGCAGGAAAGTACGCTCATTACATGAAACCTACTAGTTCAGTATTTAAAAAAGAAGAAGAAGAAAGAAAAGAAGTCTCTCTGTGGTGTCTCTCTTCTCCATTGAATTCTTTTTCTATTCAAGCAGCCGCACGTGTGTTGTGTCACTTTTACTACACCGCACTCTTCTTGGATCACCGCCTAGAGGCGGCTGTACATCACATGCGGCAATGTGAAGTACTCTTTGGAGTTTCTCCTGAGTTGCAATGTGTACAAGATCTTTTAACGGGAGTCCATCGTGGACTTATTAGCAGTAATGAGAAGAATTCAGGAGTGAAGCGACAGCGTAGTGATGATAATAGTGATAATAGTGTAGAACCAAATAATGTTAACAATACGAATGATGAGGATGAAACTCTGAAAAGGGAAAATACTACACCCTCGTGTAGTATGATGAGGATGATGAACCTTCGCTGGGTCTCGGATGGATTACTATTGTCGTTGCGATCGTATATTGACTTTCACACAGCAGCCACAGCGGAGATGCCATCTTTTTCTTCACCACCACAGATATCAGGCAATGTATGGAAACAAAATAAAGAAACAGAAATAAAAAAAGAGGGTAAGGGTATTAATGATGATGATGAGAATGCGAAAGGAAGTAGTAGTAGTGAGAAGGTAGATTACTTGTTTCAGAGTACCTTACAACACATTGATAAGCAACTCACACTATTAACAACGACAACAACAAATGTGCAGAATATTAATTCTTCGGATACCGAATTTCATTTACTCCGAAGCTTCCCTTCTACGGATATTCGCTTCCTCGTGCTGCTGAAGTGTGCCTCTCTTATTACCATGATTAGTTACGATCTCTCCCAACTACGACTCAGAGAAGGTCTACAACGACTAGTGCAACTACGGCGGTATATGAAAGTATTCCGCAAACACACCGAAGACTATCGTGTACATTATCATCTTCTCGCCTCTCAATTGGCCCTCACTCTATCCCTTCGCCATATAGATGGTGTAGAATCCACACTATCATCCCATCCTACCAGTAATGATGGTATTTCTCAACAACGACGGTTAACAGAAAAGGATGAAGAGGAACTCACGGCTGGGTTTGATGTTGGATTACCGTATGCTCACATTCGAGCAGCGGAGGAGGCGGCCTTAACGGCAACACAACCCTGCAGTCCATCACTGTTGTTGTTCATATCATTAATGAAAGGGGCCGCATTGTACCACACAACACACGTGGGAGCCACACTACAGTTAAACACAGATGGGGGATTCACAATGCGGGATTTGGCGCTACACCAGAGACACCGCTGTGGGACGGCGTTAGCAAATGTATTGGAAGCTCTGAAAACAAGTTTGGCTTCTGTATCAACTACTACTACAATAGTAAAAGAAGAAAAAGAAGAAGAAGAAAAGGAAGAAAAAGAGATAAAGGAGGAAGGAGAAAGAGATGTGAAGGAAGATCATCTTCGACAACTTCATTGTGCCTGGACAATCTCTAATCAACTCCTATTACTTCTCCTTCGTGGTGTGACGGCCATGACGGAAGAAAAGGATGAACCCACTGCTATCTGCACATTTAAAGAAGCATTAGAAAAAGCTATACAGTACTTTGGTATGCAGAGTAGCATTACGGCAGAGTGTCTCTATCTACTTGCACTTGCATACAGAGAGTATGAACAGGTGGAACTACAACCTCCAAAGGAATCTATGTCATCATCAACGGTGATGAACTTATCAACATTACCTTCTGGGTTGTCATGTAAGAAGGAGAATTGTGTGGATGAAGTTCTTGCCTCAACTGAGCATGCCCAACAGACGTTTTTATTTGCTTGGTTGCTGGCTTCTCAGAAAAGTCGGTTAGCGAAACTCCACTGTGTGTTGAATATACAAGGGGATAATAATAATAATAAAGACTACAGAGGCATTCTGGAAGAGTGTAATATGGAGGTACGACACATCTGTTCGTCAATGCAAGAAGAATTATTAGAAGTTCTCTCGTTGTAGATCTTTTTTTTTCTTTTCTTGTGTTGTTGTTTCCTTGATTTTTCTATTCTTCTGTGGTATGGCCTTCTATTGACAAGTACTGAGTTACCAGAGAGTAAAAGTGCGTTTTTTTTTTTTTTTTNTTTTTTTTTTTTTTTTGATGTTGTTTTTTTTTTTGTAAGAAAAGATACTGAACAGAAAAAAAAAAATTTATGGAAGTTTATATTCCTTTATATATAATTATATGTATTACTCTCTCTGTATCCATAAGTATTGTTGTTGTTTTTTTCCTATATTGGTTTCATAATATCTTTTCTATTATACATTTATAATATTCTCTACTATTTTTTTTCCTTTTCCGTTTTAGGAAGTAAAAACAAAAACAAAAATAAGAACAAAGACAAACAAAGGAAAGAAAGAAGAAAAAAAAACCCTCCTGCAGACATATTGCTATAAAAATCATCCAGGAAAGGGAATAATAATAATAATAATAATAACAATAAAAAAAAAAGACAAGTTAACAAAAGGAAACCAAAAGAAATACGAAATAGGTTATTTATAACAAAAGAAGGTAGATACACATACAACGTTGAAAGTGCCTTTTCTTTTTTTATTATATTCCAAAAGAGGTTTCTAAATTCATCTGGAATATTACACACACAGAGAGAGAAAGAGAAAGAGAAAAAAAAAATAGAGGGACATTAGTTCCGGTATACACTTGATTTGGGATACACACACACACACAGAGAGAGAGAGAGACACTCTTATATACATATATATGTTTGAAAGTAACCTTTTGTCGCAGATAAATACTGCATCCCCACTTCCAACCTTTGTGGAAGTAGATCTTGTGAATTCCATAAATAACTCTTTATCAAAGGCTTTCCATTTTGTACATGTATTACTCGCTGAGAAGAGTGATACTGTGGCTTCACTTCTTCCATGGAGTTCTGAGATTTGGCTAGTACTTCAAACCCTTCTTGAGCACAGACTATTATTTCATGCCAATACAACATTTGCAGAGATGTTGTTTGGTCTTTGTCGTGGTGCTATTGCCTCCCCAACACGACCACTCCCTTCTCAAGGGAAACTCTCATGGTGGATTTGTGGGCCCGCCCCTATTCCATCATTAGAAGAACAGGCATTACAATCCCCAACGTCTACTGCTTTAACGGAAATGAAGGATTCCATACTGGATTCACCACATAGTAACTTCACCGCAACAGAAATGGTGGCTTCACAAGATGCCTCTTATGGATATTTGCGATTCCGTCCTCTTTCAGAAACACAACGTTATATTTCTCTTTTTCTTATTACACTTAAACCCTATTTGCAGGAGCGTGCGGCCATGTGGTACTCGGAACAGTTAGATTCATCACCTGGTGCGGTTTCTATGCGTGCGGCCTATGCGAATCGTTATCCCTTGCGAGCTCGTATAAAGGAGATTTTAAAACGTCTCTATCCTCTTTTTCGCACTGTTACCGCAAGTATGGGATTCTTATATCAGATTCTTTTTCTTCTGGAGTGCACACCATACACAGCCGCCCTTCATCGTGTCTTTGGTATTGCTGTTCATCGCCTTACAATGAAGGATCATCGTGCCTTATCAAATCCCCGTGCCCAACGAATCCTTATATTAGCCCGTGTGCTATTTTTCCTGGTATTTATTGGATTCCGTCTGTTGGAGTTCACAGGTGCAGGTACGGGCAGCAATTCCGTCTCTAACTTGATAGAAACAGATGAGAACCTCGCCGTCCCACAACCACCCGTGTGGGGTGTGGATGTAGAAGTTCCTGCAGGCGCACGTATACCAGAGCCTGGTATCTGTCCGGTCTGTGAGCGACGAGTAACAAATGCGGCGGTGTGTACAGTCAGTGGTATCGTTGGATGTTATCCATGTCTGCAGAGTTACACTAGAGAACACGGAGCGTGTCCGGTGACATCACTCAAGACATCAGTGGATTGTATTCGACGTATATATGAGTGCTGATGTTATGGGGGATACAAAAAAAAAAAAAAAAAATAAGAAAAAAGAAAAGAAGAAAGAAAAATGAAAATAAACCTACTTGTAGTATGTGTTTTGCAGAGTTGTTATTATTATTATTATTATTTTTCCTTTTGCTTTTCTTTTTTTTTCTTTGTTTGTTTGTTTGTTTGTTTGTGTGTATGCGTATGAGTGTGGTCTTGTGGATTTTCAATAGGGAGAGACTGCGCTCATTGGAACTATGAAATGAAGAGAAAAGAATGAACATGATTGCGTAAAGAAGAAGAAAATAGGAAAAGAAACGAAAAGAAAAAAGTGTCTATTGTAATCCACATCTTCCGCAATGTTTTACAACGGCTGCTTTTTATTATTATTATTATTATTATTATTTTTTTTTGTAATATCTCTCTCTCTCTCTATGTAAGAACTTTATCCCTATGAGTTATAATCACTTAATGTTTACTTATTTCTTTGCTTCCCCAGCAATAAAATATCCCTTTTTTTTTTATTTTCTTTTCCTTCTTCTTCTTCTTTATATTTCTCTTTCGTGGATGACTCCCCACCCAACCCAACCACCCCCACAACCTCACACCTTTTAAATAAATAAATAAAAAGGATTGTGGAAGGAGGTTGGAGTTTTGAGTTTCTGCAATGCCTACCATTCGCGGTGGCGTTGGGAGCTTTCTGCTTCGCCGCGCAGCCCCGAAGAGTATCCGGCAGAAGTATCAGACCGGCCCACAGTTCTACAAACGAAAGTTCTTCCACTTTCCCAAAGGCCATCATCGCCTACACCGTCGTATTAGCGGAATGCAGATGGGATCCCCAACTCACCAACGTGAACACGAACGATTTAATCATCTTCCCGGAGATGTTCGCACAAAGCCACAGTTTGATTTTACATTCGGTGAGAAACGGGCAGATGGAGTACTGTACGCATGGCGAAAGCGTGGTGATTTACAGTTGTATCAAGTAGGTGGAAAGACGGAAACTTTTGTGTGTTATCGCTGCGGATATCCCGTGCGCAGTCAACTTGTAGCTATTAAAGCGGATAACTGGGATTACCGCATGTGTTATCGCTGTTATACAACTACGGTAAACCAGGGAATGGAAAACGATACGTGAAGTAAAGAAGAAGAAGAAGAAGAAGAAAAAAAAAGAGAGAGACACATGTCTTTTTTCTTGGCGAGGGTGTGTATCCCTGTAAAGTATACTATCCATTTATCTATCTATATATCTAATCTGTCTCTCTCTCTCTCTCTCTCTCTCTCTCTCTCTTTATATTTGACTCTTGAGAGATTTCTAGCATTGTTGTTCTTTTCTTGATATTGAAATGGTAAATATTCTTTTTTTTCCTTTCTTGTTCTTGTTTTTTTTTTTGGATTTTTAATCATCTTTAACATGCACAAATGGGAATATTTTTAACAAATGAGGAGGAAAAGAAAAAAAAGAAAGAAAGAAAGGTGTTGTGTACTTAGAATGAGTTACGCAGCGGATACCTATTACACCAATAATGGTGAGGCCGACGCCTACTATTACGGCAACCAGGAGCAACATCAACAACAAGAACAAGTGGAAGATGATGGTACCATAAACTTTCGTCCAGCCGATATTACAGATCAGCAAGACAAGATTATTCAACTTGTGGCCAAGTACGTTGTCTTTTCCTGCGATGGAGCCCGTTATCAACACAAACTTGTAAAAAAGACAAAGTTTAACTCCTACTTTGCCTTTATTGCCTCACCTGAGCATAAGTATCATGACTATTACCAATACCTTATTCGAAGTTATACACATTGGCGTGATGTTGCTGCGGCTAGTAGTGCTGGACAGGGAAACACAGATGAGGGATATGCCTTCTACACAGAGCAACTACGTCAACAGGAACAACAACAGCAACAACAATTACTACAGCAACAGCAACAACTTATGCAGCAGCAACAACAATATCAGGGAGGTATGTATTACACTACTGAGATGAACTCCTCCTCACATTACGTTGATACAACTGCAGCAGCGGCTACAACACCAGGAGGCTATTATGATGCCAACAATACTACTTATCCACCTCTACAACAACAACAACAACATCAAGGTGCATCTGTTCTTGGTGACTCCTCTGCAGTAACAGAAACACCGGCAGAGCAAGATAACAGCAGAAAACGTGCGAGATCAGCAACACCGCAAGAGAGTAGTGATGATGATGACGATGATGATGAACAGGAGTTAGAGTTTGTCATGGAAAATGGTGTGGCACGAGCTGTCCCAAAGCAGAAATAAAAAATAAAAAAAAAGTACAGATGTTATTGAGGAGATGGGCGAGTGAAAACAAAACAAAAGAAAGAAAAGCGCTCTTGGTAATTTTATATCTTTAGGGATCTTAATAAACTCCGGTTCTCGACACTCCCCCAGATGGATACAAAAACATTGCACATGCAATCTCTCTCTCTTTGGTCTTGCATGGACTAAGATGGAAGAGGAGGAAAAGATAATGAAAGAAAGAAAAAAAAGAAATGAAGGTATTCTATAGATTTTGGACTGGTTTCCCAGATTATCCTCTATACAATGTTATGTGGAATTCCCAAAAAAAAGAAAAGAAAATAGCGGTTTGTATTTGGTTTTGTTTCATCTGGATCTATGAGTGAGAATTGATCTCAAGAAGGTAAGAGACGTGTAACTTCATGAGAGGTCTTTTTTTTTGTGTGTTTTTACTTGTTTTTCCTACACGCATAATAATACTTTTTTTATATACAATTTCTCTCGTATGATTTCATTCTCTTTTCATATATATATATAATTTCCCAATTTTCTTTTCTCTTTTATTTTTTTTCTTCTACTTTTCCTTTACAGTCGCATCCAGTGTACTCTACTTATGTTCTGTAAACCATTTTCCGGTGATCCCACGGCTGGTGGCACCTTTTCACTGTCGTTCTCTCCATATGCCGCGGAGTCCTCCTCAGATACTATATCTGCTCTTCTTCCGCAGGGAACATCTTTTATTGGGAGTGGTGCCTTTGGGACTGTGCGTGTTGGTTGGTTGCAGGAGCGAAAACGTCAACGTCCATGCAGTGATGAACACACAAGTGAAGAAATTATAATTCTTGGAACCTGTGCGGCCGTGGCGGTGAAGCGAGTGGTTGTTCCAGATGCATGGAATCCAAGAAGTCTTCACAGGAGTATCAGTCATCGTCAGGAATTATTACTTCGTGAATTACAAGTAATGGAGTGTATCCGGACACATCCTCATCCTAATATAGTGCAGTGTTGGGGTTTTCTCTTTGGGGAGAAGAAAGAGAAGAAGAAGTTTACGGAGCAGCAATCTCTCACAGGTGAAACAATAACGGATGTTGAGAAGGAATATACATCAGGTATGATTCTTACAACTCTGGAAAAGGAGCGGAAACGTCTGGAGAGTAGTGGTAAAAAGGAGACAAGTAATGAGAATATGGTGGAAGTTAATAATGATATGGTGGATATTCATATTCTTAACTCTGCCTTATATGTGGATTTATGTCTCTCGCTCTGCAGCAGTGGTTCCTTGGTAGATTATATTCACCGAAAGGTTAATGAAGCTATTCGTGTATCTACACAATTGGATCCCAGTGAACCAAGTACGCAATTTGTTGACAGCGATACAGCTGTAACTGACAAGATAAGCACTATGCATGGACTGACAGGAAGTACAAGTGAAGGTGATACTGTAAAAGGATCAGGAAACCCTTCATCCTCTTCTGTTGATGTTGGTCATTCCAGTAAAAGTAACACAAATACATTACCACAGTTATTTCAAAACGTTGAAAATGCTGAGATGCAATCTGAAACGAGACCTACTACAACTACAGAAACTATCTCGGCTGAGCTTGTGGTTCGAGAACGGGATATTGTGGCTATTACCTATGCTCTTACGAATGCACTTCGACACACACATGAGACATTGCGGACATTACACCGTGATGTTAAACCCGCAAATGTTTTAATTTGCAGTGGAGTTGGAAAGACTCCAGTATACACATTACAACCCCTTTCACGGGTAACACAGACATCCTTGGTGGGTTCTAAACCTCTCACAGATACCGCATCTGCACCCAAGCAAGAAAAACCAGCAGTAAGTGGTCCTATGCTTCATACAGAGGAGGATTCTGTAGAATTTGCTCTCTTCTCAAACTGTCCAGAATCTGTGAAGCATAAGAATAACAACAACACATCCACACAAGAAGGAGCTAACACTGAGAATATCTCTACAACAGCAGGAGAGGATATTCCAGAGACTCCAGCAACATTGGTAGTACCTTTAGAGGCAGGAGGACAACGTCTTCAGTGTACGGGATATTCCTCACGTGGAATGATGATTGAATACATGCCGCAGGCTGAGGCGTGGCGAATACAATTGGCAGACTTTGGTGTTGCTACGGGTGTTGGTAAACTCACGGGTGAAACTCGATGTGGGACTTTCCCATTTATGGCTCCTGAAGTTGCGGGTGATGGTTGTAGTGGTGTGAACGGATACAGCACCGCGGCGGATGTCTACAGTTTGGGTGTTACCCTTCAACATATCGTGGTGCATCTCGTTCTTGAGAATGGGGATGTGCGTCGGGTGTCACAGAGACGTATGCAGGCGTTAGGGGCATTATGGATTGATGAAGATGATAAGGAAAATAATATAAAAACAGAAACAGATACAGATATAGACAGAAGAGAATCTCGCTCACACTTTGTGGTACCAAATGCATGGCGTTGTGCACGAGAATTGGACAATGAGCTATTTATCCGCACTCCACCCCTTGTGGATCAAACTGTTCGTATGGACAATCATGATAAGAATGATCATCGAAATACATTTGCTATTCCACGCTCCTGGCGTTGTTGTGATGAATTGCTGGAACAACGGTATGTACGCCACAAATCCACATCCGATGTATCTGATAATAATACTGCTGTACATCATGATTACCTTCTTGCCTCATTACCGCAGGACTCCAACGATGGTGAGGCGAATGAACAGAAAGAACGTCGTAAATCACGATGTAAATCATGTGGAAAACTTCATCGAAATTTTATTGAATTATTAAATGCCATGACAGCCACACAGCCATCCCAGCGTCCTCCCTTATCTACAGTATTGCAGAGTGCAGCTATTATAGATCAGGGGAGTTTCGTGCGGAACACCACACGAGGTCGAGCTGGCAAATGTGATTCGACTGTTGTTACTGCAGATTCTACGGGGAGTGGAATAAACGCCAATCGCTTCCTTCGTGCTCGTCAACGTGCACAAGAAAAGGAAAGGGAACGAAATCGTATTACTGCTTCCATGGCAACATTTCATTTTGATATGACTAACCCAAATTCCCAACAACAACGGCAAGGAAAAGAAGAAGAAGAACAACAACAACAACAAGAGAGTAAAGATGCTGAGGGTGATGCAGCATCAACAGTGTTGCTCTGGCGTCCACCATCTCTCCGCTTCCTTCGGGCCTCACGCGAACGATTAGAGAATCGCAGTGATTAACCGAAAGTGTGAGTCAAAGTACTAATGGGTGTGTGGGGGGGGGGGACTAGTAATTATAATTTTAATAATACATCAGAGTACAGTTATTATTATTATTATTATTATTATTATTATTATTATTATGGGGAGTATTTTTTTTTAATTTTTTTTTCTCTTTAATCATCCTACAGATTGGGTTCTTTGGTTTCTTATTCAGACGGAAAATATATTTGGGGTATGGTTCTATTTATTTATTTATTTAATTTTGGTTCCTATTTTCCTTTCTTTATGTCTTATTTGCCTCTATCTGCTTGTATACCCTAATAATAATGTTATTTTTCTTATAATAATATATTGTATTTCTTTACTTTACTTTTTATTTCTTTTTCTTAAGGTTCCCCCCAAAATGGCAGCCCATGGTGTCGTTCCTGAAGTGAGAGAAGACTCTCGGAGTGAATCCATAAACGGAAAGGCCTTTCATAACGATTTGATCAAATTAGATATAATGCGAGAGTTTCTGGAAAAAAGTCGAGAAAAGGCGGCCCAACATCATGAAGACCGTATTTCTTTATTAGAATCACAGTATTTACTTCGTCTGCAAAAATCCTCAAAATTACACACTCCTTCATTAGATCATCGATTAGCAGTGGGAGTAGAGACACAGAATGGCAGTATAGAAAGTCCCCCGAAGAGCAGCACTAGCAACAATACGAGTGCGATAACAGCTAATGTGAGTGTCGTTGAGATTGAGTTGGATGAAAGCGATGAGGAAGAACCACCAGAGAAGAAACACGCAATGTTGTGGCGGCAGCAGCAGCACCAGAAGCACTCTAACACACTCTCATCATCACCGCAAAGCCGCACAGACTCAGACGGTATATCACCAGAGATGTGTACGCCGTTTTCACCACAGGCAGTGACGTCTTCACGCTCTCCTACCACATCATTGGAGGAAGTACATATTATGAAATATGGAAACAGTAAAAATAATAAGACTAATAATAATAATAAGAATAATAAGAATGGTGGTTCTTGCAGTGTAGAAGAGACACCTGTAGTTAACCCCAATAAAACGCCTCTTTCTGGTAAGATAGATAAAGTAGATATGAACATCAGCAACAGTAGTGAGAATATGGTATCTCGTCTCTCTTACAGGAGCTATCAAACAACACAAGATGAGATGATCTTCAACTCTGAAGAAGAAGAAGAAAAAGAAAAAGAACAGAATGTAACACGTTCTCTAATGCAATCCTTTGGAAATCACATTAATGAGTTGACACCACAGAAGAGTTCTAACACACCACCTTTACTATCAACACCATTATTACTCTCACACTCTGTTGATCCACAAATAGAACCTGAATTACAGGAGTTTCTCCTATGGCAATCTGAGAAGTCTGTCAAACGCCGTGAATCTCTGCAAATGGCAAATAATAACCGCTCAAAAGTAGCGAAGGTGTATGCTGCTGCTTCAACCGAACTTCGCTGGCCATCGCTGTTTGATGACAGTTCGAAGAAAACACCGGTAAAACCACCACTCACACCAGAATCTTCGCCTTCACGATTTATTTCATGGATTGCAGATGAGGTGGATTGCTATGAAGATTTACTATTGCACCTAACCCCAACTGCAGAAGAAGTGGAGCGGTGGGTAGTTGACGCCGTCGTTGATGTTGTTATTAACAAATTCACAACGGAGTGCGTTGTCGATTTTATACTCCAACAGCAGTAGAAAAAAAAAGAAAAAGAAATATATAATAGAGCACATATATAAAATAATAACATGGTAAAGATATATATATATATATATATATATATATATATTAAAATAACCATAGAAACAAATAGATCTTTAGATCCCATGAAAATACTCTTTATAATTTGAGACATGGCCTTTTTTTTTTCTTTTCGTGGGTGTGGGTGTATGTATGTATGTGTTTTACTTCCTTTTCTTTGCTTGTTTTCATCTGGCAAAACGAAAAATAAAACTTTTGTAATGTTAAAATAAGAGAGTGTTGTGTTTTTTTTTTTTGAATGTGTATATTCTATTTTTACCTATTTTACTTGACTTTTTCTACTATTATAAGGAAGTGATTCTGGCTTCTAGTTAGACGTACAAACTTTATAGGAAAGTAGCAAAAAATAAAATAATAAAAAAAGGACTGTTATAAAATGGAACTACGAAGAAATTCATTAAATTCTGCTACTTCGCCAAATCACAAAACACAGGAGATAGATGTATCCTCTAAAAATAAGAGCAATATGAATTTGGATAGTGGTTTTCAAGAAACAACTGTAAAGTCCATTCCCAGGTCAACCATTACAATTTCTGTAGAATGTCAAGATACAACTCATTCACCACCTCCAAACGCATCAAATCTCGCAAAATGGAAACGTTTGATACAGTTTGTATGTTTGAGTTATATTTTTTTATCCCTTATCTTATTAGTTTATCTAGGGTACACGTTTTCTCTGCGTGTCTCTGCATCTATCCCTTATATGGACGATCCCTCTAGACTGATGCTTCTACTTGGGTCTGTTGCTGTAGATAATACAGACTCCCAGTGGAGGTTTTTTACCGCTTTCACTCCCCCGCTTATTCCTCTCTTCGCAATTATTATAGCACTTTCTCGCCAAATTAGAAAACGTGGGTTAACTGCACTGCAATACTTTCACATCTCTCTTGGACTTATTTTTCTTGCATGTTTGCAAGGACCAGCTTTTTGTGCTCCTATAGCAGTAACGTGGTTAAACTATATATTTACTGTCAAGTGTATTCGCTATCATGTCTCATATCGTATTTTCATGACATTGATGTGGACCTTTCAGGCAGGATTCCTTTTATTTGCAAACAGTAGTTATAGTACTTCTATTACAGACCAAATTGTTCCACTACTACCAATAGAGTGGCCTCAAAGACTTCGTTGGTCTGTTGTATTCAACATGTCTACTCTTCGTATGATTGCATTTAATATGGATATGTATGAGGCCTTTCATGATGGGGCAGCACTGCAAGAGAAGGCCGTGCAGAAGCATGATACTGTGTGTGTGGAGTGTGCACAGATGCGGGAATCCAACCCCAACCGCGGTGAAGGGACTCACACTGCGCGGTGCTACAAGTTCCGCACAGAGTACCCGTGCCAGCTGCGGGACTACAATCTGCTGAGCTACATGACATACATATTATATGTTCCACTATACATTGCGGGTCCCATGTCCTCCTTTAATGCCTTCGTTTCACATCTTCATTACCCTACTACCGTCATGACAAGGAAGCAAATGTTATTTTATGCATTTCGTATATTTGTTTTATATCTTGTTTTGACCATTTTATTACATTATATCTTTGTAAATGGCATTCGTCTTGTAGATTTTATTCTTGTATACGCAGGTGCTTTTACAGTATTTACTATGCTTTACTTCCAGCTAGCTTTTCTATGGTTAAAGTTCGGTTGTATATGGAAACTATCTAGACTTCTAGCGATATTAGATGGGGTTGATGTACCAGAAGATATGCGTCGCTGCTTTGGAAATACTGTCACTATTCAAGATTTTTGGCGAGATTGGCATGCCTCATTCAATTTATGGATTGTACGATATATGTACATCCCTATGGGTGGTAACAAGAAGAAACATCTGAATATTTTTCCCATTTTTTTCTTTATTGCGATATGGCATGATATTGAACCTCATTTGTTTTTTTGGGCACTGTCGATATGTGTTTTTCTTGTACTCGAAATTTTCTTTTTACGTTGTGTACCCACCCATCCTCGTGTGAGTGCACTTCGGAAACGATCTCCAGTGTTGTACATTATACTGCGAAGTTTTTCTGGAGGTCTCAGTCATATGGCTGTCATGATCGCATGTATTGTTGGATTTAATTCGCAGACATTAATGCAAACCTCTGCGGCTGGTGTAGTAGATTATTATTTTACCCTTTTTTTTAATATACAACCATTATTTTTACCATGGTTTTTTCTCTTTCTTTGCTGTTGCTCACATATTGGATTGGCAATACGTGACAATGAAGCAGAAAGGACGCAGCTCGAGCGAGTGCGTCTGGGTATCATTCATGGGGTAAAAGTATCCAAATCCGAACAAGCATAAATGTTCGGAAGTTCACTACATAATTATTTAGGAATATAAAATATGTTTTTTTTATTTCTCTGAATTCTCCAGTGTTTGCAATATTTGTTATTTACTCTTCTACTGTCTACCATTTATAAACTCACATCTGCATCCGTTTTTTTTTTTGTGTTTCTCTTTTTGTTTCCACTAATCCCTCCCATTATACATGCAAAAAAAGAGAGAGATAAGAGGCAGCAGGTCCTCTGCAATTGGCTCATCAAACACACCCACTAGGAGGGAAAGAGACGAAGACCACTGAATAAGTACCTATATATATATACACATACATACATAAATAGATAAATAGATATATATATAGGTGTTTGAGTGTTTTTCCCATGTTTGGTCGTCGTGTGTTTGCGAGTGCTGGCGTGCCGCGTCATGCGTGGGCTGCGCTGCACATTCAAAGCAGCCGCCAGGCCTCCCGCATCCTCCCGTCACTCGCACCACTCGCGCCACTCGAGTGCCGCCGACAGTTGTCCGGCGCCGTCGCGGCCGTAAGTGCATGGCAGACGACACCAGCAGTGAGTGATGCGCTGCTCAGCGAAGACGGGCTTCTGATGCTTGGCATCAACTCCATTCTGCCGCTTTCACCCACAATGTTTATACAACCTCACGGTTTTATATCGCCATGTACATTTGAGAAGGTGTTTAGGGTAGCGTGTCCGACGTTTGATTGGGCAGCAGGGGAAGCAGGTGGAGCAGCACAGGGTTGAATGGAGAAAAAAAAAAGGAATAAAGGAGATGAGCCAATGGGTGAAGAAACTCCCATAACGTAGGTTTAAAGAACTCATACATTCACATTTCACATATTTTTATACGTGTATCTACTACACTGGCAAAGAGAGAAGGTGATAGGTAATATGATGCCGTACAACATGAAGGACGTCCCGTGGAAAGAAGGTTAAGAATATGGCAAAGGATGAATTTGTTGTTATTGTCATCGTTTTTTTTTTTTGTTTTGTTTTCTTTTGAACTGAATGAATTTTTCTGTTATATATTTATTGTTTTTTTCTCTGTGTTTGTTGTTACTTTTTTTCTTTATTTCCTTATTTGTTTTGTTTTGTTTTGTTTTTTCTCTTGTATTGTGTCCCTGTTTTTCCTTTTTGATGGACAGGATTAGAGAAGAAGTCTCTCAGTAGAGAAGGATTCCAAACAGGAGAGCATATATAGCTGTCTTGATTTACTACATATTTAATCCGTTTTGTATACGCATTTTCTTAGAAACGGCGGCGTCGTGAGGTTTGAGTGGATAAGTGAGTGAAAAGAAAAAAAAAAAAATATATATATATATATATATATACATATATATAATCTCGGTTTTTCTCTGGTAAAAGGTGATAGAAATAGAAAAAAAAAAAAAGGTTGTATCTATCATCGCATATTTTAGGGAATACTATTATTAAGACCCCCAGACACTGGGAGTTTCTGTGCTTTTTTTTTATTCATTATAGAAGAAATTATCCGTTATGCCAGGAAGTTTGAAGAGTCATTCGATTACTGTGAATATAACCTCACAATTGCGGTTTGGAGAAGAATCCGCAGTGGAACTCAAACCTTTGGATGTAGAGAGTCCCACTCTACCTGATGAACCTAGTACTTCTGTGCCGTCGCGATGTTCGCTTGAGTACCTCGTATATGCTCTTTACATGATGGGTTTTATTATCTATGGTTTCTCTGTTGTCTCAGAGGTATCTACGAAATATGCACCCTGGTTTTACTTAAGTAAACCGCGATGGACGCTATTGACATTGGCACCTTTTCATTCTGTTGGATACAACGGCTCTGGTGATGGACAATGGAAGGCCCTGGATGGTTGGTTATGGCTTTTAGTGTTACTTTTCCTCGCTTTGGCAATGGGTTCTAAACTAATTCGATGGTCATTCCGTGGGAGAAATGAGGTTGTAGCACTACAATACTTTCACGTTTTTGTTGGTCTTATTTTTGTTGCATTTTTGCATGGACCATCTTTTTACCTTCCTATTGTATTTACATTGATAAACTATGTATTTGCTTTGAGGTGTATTCGCTATCATCTCTCGTACCGTGTTTTCATGACATTGATGTGGACCTTTCAGGTGGGATTACTACTAAGCATTAGTTATACTGGAGGATATGCGAGGTTCTTTTTTGTTCCAGGACCAAAGACGTGGTGGTCTCAGAGATTTCGTTGGTCTGTTGTATTCAACATGTATACTCTTCGTATGATTGCATTTAATATGGATATGTATGAGGCCTTTCATGATGGGGCAGCACTGCAAGAGAAGGCCGTGCAGAAGCATGATGCTGTGTGTGTGGAGTGTGCACAGATGCGGGAATCCAACCCCAACCGCGGTGAAGGGACTCACACTGCGCGGTGCTACAAGTTCCGCACAGAGTACCCATGCCAGCTGCGGGACTACAATCTGCTGAGCTACATGACATACATATTATATGTTCCACTGTACATTGCGGGTCCCATGTCCTCCTTTAATGCCTTCGTTTCACATCTTCATTACCCTACTACCGTCATGACAAGGAAGCAAATGTTATTTTATGCATTTCGTGTCCTTTTGATCTATGTTGTCTTGATAGTATTGCTCCACTTTGCGTTTGTGAACGCATTTCGTACTTATCCGAAGTTTTTGGCAAAACTAAGTATTTCACAATTGGCTTATCTTTTATACTATTCCTTGGCTTTTCTATGGTTGAAGTTCAGCCTTGTATGGAAACTATCTAGACTTGCAGCGATATTAAATGGGGTTGATGTACCAGAAGATATGCGTCGCTGCTTTAGTAATACTGTAAGTGTTCGAGATTTTTGGCGAGATTGGCATGCCTCATTCAATTTATGGATTGTACGATATATGTACATCCCTATGGGTGGTAACAAGAAGAAACATCTGAATATTTTTCCCATTTTTTTCTTTATTGCGATATGGCATGATATTGAACTTCATTTGTTGTATTGGGCATCGTGTATAATTTTCATATTTGTATTGGAACTTCTAGCTGGGTATGTATGGAATCTCCCATTTTTTTCTCGTTTGCATCACTTTCGTTATCAGCGTCTTCTGCGTTCCTTTGGTGGAGCATTTTCTGTATTTGGTCTTATTGTGGCTAATTTGATTGGTTTTTCCCAGACACGTTCTGGTAGTGTAGGCCAAACAGATCACCTTATTACTAGTGGATTGTACGCCGCAGATCCAAATTTTTATCTTTTTTCGTTTTTGACTTTCTTCTGTGCCGCGGCTATGGGTATTATTGAGCGTGATATCGAAGCGGTAGAATTGTTGCGACTGAAGAAAAAGTATAAACTGAACTGAGAAAAACGAGGTATCTATCTCTCTCTGTTTGTCTGTCTGTCTGTCTGTCTATATATACATATATCTCTGTGTGTTTTCGTTTATATGCCAATAGCTCTGTGTGTGTGTGTGAGTGTGTGACTGGTACTCCTTTATACGTTTCTTGATAAATTTTTTTCTGTGAAGACATATACTCACATACTTGTACTTTTTTTTTAAAAAAAAAAATGTAGTATAATATACTTATATATGTGTTTATGTATAAACTTTTTCTTGAATAAGGGCTCCTAATCACACGTTTTGTTTTTACTTGCTTTTTCCCTTGTAAGAGCGGTGTTGTACGGAGTACCTGTTTTATTCTACTTGTCGTTTGCAAAGTGAATGTTGCATAAAGATGGCGGGGAAGAAGAAGCACTCTATTTGATTTGAAAAAGTTTTGTAATTTCTGTTTTTTTTTCCTTAGCTTTACTCTCTCTTTTATTTGTCATTCTTCTTCTTGTTGTTATTGTTCTATCAGTGTGTATTAACGAAGTACCCCTTTTGTTATTCTATTTTTTTCCGTTTCTTCTTTATAATTATCATCATTCTCTACTCTCCTCTCTCTGGATTGTTGTACATACCTGTAAGGAACCAGTAGCAGTGGGTCCTGTTCACCACTCCCACTCATCACATCAAACTCAACGAACGAGAAAAGAAAAAAGAGATAATAATAATAAGAATAATAATAATAAATAACAAAAAAAAACCAAGAAAAAAAATCTTCATATCGAGAGAAATATTTATAAAATAGTGAAAAATAGCGTAATTACACCATGACTGAAGGTCCTGTGGCGCCGCATGTACTGCAGAAGACTTCCTTCGAGTATCTTTTCTACGTTGGGACTCTCCTCCTCGCTGTGGCGTACTTTGGCATCTACGATATTAGCATGGTCTCCCGCGAGTACATCCATGTGCTGTCGGAGAACCTTCGCCCGCCGTGGCCGCCCTTCTCTTGGCTTGGCTCGTACGGCGCGGACGTCACTGACAGTCAGTGGTACAACTTCACACGGGCTGTTCCACTCGTATTGCCCTTCTTCGCCGCTTTTCTTTACCTGTCGCACAAAATACGTGCTGTCGCGGTGGAGAGGATGGTGAGTGCACTGCAGATACTACACATCGTATCGGGGATAGCGCTTGGCTTCGCTATAAGTGGGCCTAGATTTCTTTTCCCGATTCTTCTTATTCTTGGGAATTACTATGCTGTGAAGAAGATATATAATAAAGTTTCCTTTACTGTGTTTATGGTATTAATGTGGAGTTCACACATTGCTGTGCTTTTTTTGAATAGCTACTATGAGGGATACAAGTTTAAGTGGTTCGGATTAGGATTTCTAGACCATCTAGTTAAACCACTTGTAGCGTGGACAGTTCATTACAACATGAGTGTCTTACGTATGATTGCATTTAACACGGATATGCATGACGCTATTGTATCATCAGAAGAAAAACGTGAAAAACTTCTAGAAAAACACTTAAATTGTTGTATTGAGTGTGCGAAAATCTGTGAAGCTTATACAAAGAAAAAAAATGGTTCTTTACCGCCAAATATTCAATTAGAGGAATTGGGATGTTATAAACTCCGTACAGAATACCCTCGTCAGCCTAGTGAATATAATCTTCTGAGTTATCTTGGTTGTATCGTTTATCCTCCACTATTTATTGCAGGACCCATGTCATCTTTCAATGCCTACATTTCTCATTTACATAATCCTACAATGGCGGTAGATAGTGTAGATTTAAGACGATACGGCATAAGAGCATTTTTAAATCTTCTACTTTTGACTGCTGTATCACATTATATGTATATCATCGCTATTTTGATGAATGGACCTGTGTTTTCCGCTATTTCTTTTCCTCGCCGTGCAGTTATACTTTATCTAACTTTAGCATTCATTTGGTTAAAGTTTAACTGTGTATGGAAATTATTTAGACTTATTTCACTTGTAGATGGGGTTGATGTACCAGAAGATATGCGTCGATGTTTTACTAATACCGTAAGCATTCAGGGATTTTGGCGAGATTGGCATGCCTCATTCAATTTATGGATTGTACGATATATGTACATCCCTATGGGTGGTAACAAGAAGAAACATCTCACTATTTTTCCCATTTTTTTCTTTATTGCGATATGGCATGATATTGAACTTCGATTAATACATTGGGCTGGTATTATTTGTGTTTGCTTTGTTGTAGAGATAGTAGTGACACAAGTTCTCTTTCATCCAAAAACTTCTTTGGGTATTCTAATGGCTCAACGGCCACTACTTTACCGATATGTCCGGATTTTAGGTGCCTGCCTTACTATGTTGGAGCTTATTATAGTGAATCTTGTCGGTTTTAGTATAGGTCTTGATAGAGCAGGAATGAACCTTGAGTCCATGTGGAGAGAGTCATCCATGCCTTTCTGTGTTCTTATGGTGTTTTATTTTTATATAGCTGCCAGTATTGCCATTCAAGATAGGGATCAAGAGAAATTTAATGAATATCAGAATCGAACCAAATACGGTCTTCGAAGTTACAGAAGGTCTGGTTCTGGTGATGGTGGTGGAAGTACCAGTAGCTTGAAAAGAGAAGGAAAGGTAGCTGAGTATAGTGATGTTGAAAATCCCACTGTGACAACAGAGAATGGAATAGACAAATAGAAGGCGAACGGTTTTTTTATTATTATTATTTCTCAGAATTGGAATCCATCTACTTCAATAGAAAAAAACATGAGGTAAATCATTGATATTTGTGAGGTAATAATATTAATAGGAAAAAAAAAACAATGATAAACTTAATCATAATCTTATTTAGGTTTAGTCGATGTTATCACAAAATATCTGTGGTTTTTTTTTTGTTTTCAGCCATGCTTTTTCTCTCGTACGTCACGGTTTTCTAGATTAAGTTCCGAGAAGGTTTCCTTTCTCTCTCTCTCTCTCATCTGTAATACTTTCAGTAGGAATGATATTTTGATGTTTTTTCTTCTGTTGGTTCGCTGGTATATGTTGCGGAGATAAGGTATTTCTAGGTATTTGTTTTCTTTTACTTCCCGTATAGCTTGAGTCATTACTATTATTATTATTATTATTATTATTATTATTATTATTATTATTATTATTATTACTATTACTGGATAAAATAAGAAAGACAATTTTCGCCATCCATGTTGGTAAATAATGCCTGACGTTTCGTGGATCATTGTAGTCTGACTTTTTTTTTATTATTCTGTGGAAGTATTTCTTTTTTTTTTCTGTTAAATTTCCTTTTCTTATGCAAATGTTATTCTTTTTTTTATCATCTTTGTTACTTAAGCTTGGCTGTATTACTATGAATGGTGGTGGTGTTTCTTTTATCAATGAGTAGAAGATAGGCATCATCATTGTAACCCATCAGGTCACTCTCTTTTCTCTTAAAGTATATGTGAGCTTATCCCTTTTTAAAATACCTCTTTATTTCTCCGTATCCACACAATACGTTTTTTTTTCAATATGTTAACAACTTCATATGGTTTTTTTTTCTTCTTTTTTTCTTTCTTTCTCGCACATTAAGCCTTCCTGTGGTAATTTGGATATAATAGAGATAGTTGGAGAAAATGAATGTAGAGGCATTACGTTACTTTTGGAATCATTATCAACTGCTTGACTGCGTTGTGGCTTTACTCTTCTTAGTGATTTCTACAATTGTTACCGCAACGTGTTCCCCATATTGTCGTCCCTTCAGTTGGAAAGATCCATCTATTGATTATCCGTATGTAGTTAGTGTGACATTTCCAATATGGACTCTCTTCCTGTTCTTAGCTATGGCATTAGTATTCTACGGCTTAGTGGTGACTTCACTTGGTGGTCCACTCTGGTTGTGGGTGAAGGCGCAATTGCTGGCAGCAGTATCTCAACAAGTAATTGTAAATTTACTAAAAATATACGCTGGTCGTATTCGGCCAGATTACTTGAACCGTTTGCGGTATCTTGGATTTAATGAAGATAGTTATGCCGAAAGTGGTGTAAAAGGTATAACAGCCAGTGAGTATTATTGTAGACTTGGAGACAAATATGCAGAACTACGTGAGGGACGTTTATCATTTCCATCAGGACACAGTTCAACCTCCTTCGCAGTTTTTACATTTATGTCCTTATTTCTATTTGCATACATAAGACCCTCATCACATGGTGGGAGCTTTGTACGATTACTTCTTTCATTGTGTCCAATGATAATTGCTTTTCTCTGTGCTGTGAGCCGAACGCGTGACTATTGGCATCACTTTGATGATGTAGTGGCTGGGGCACTTATTGGTACTGTATGTTCATTACTGTGTTTCTACAACGCATTCCGTATCACTGGAGGAGGTCTTTGTGTTTCCAGGCGCAGTGAAGCAGGAGAAAACATGGTGGACGTATCAGGAGGGGAAAGTACACAAAATACACAGGTAGTTACTATACAAGCTAATTAGAGGAAAACTTTTATTTTATTTTTGTTATTGTTTGTTTTTGTTTATTTCTCTCTATGAAATCTTTTTAAAAAAAAAAAAAAATTACATTCCTTCTTATAATAATTAACCGTCCAAACAAAAATACAAGAAAACGTGTGAATTTTATGTCGGTATCTTCTCATACAGAGTTGTTCTATGTTCGTATATATATATATATATCCGTTTTTTTCCTTCTTTAAAAGGAAAATGAGGGCTATGCATACAGAAGACATATAAATAGCTATTTATATAGTCCATCCATATATATATATATATATATGTATGTAGTTGGATGGTTATGCTCACTTAATGGCCTTCTATTAAATATCTACGTATGCTCTCTCCATCTTTATATTACTCCATCCTATTCTTAAAAATTCCATTCATATTGACTTCTTTGTATAGATATTTTTTTTTTGCTTCCTCAATGGGGTTTTTTGTCGTTCTTTTTCTTTTCTACCTACTGTACTAAACCTTCTTTAGAATTAAATTTAAGTTGTTAGTAATGACGAAACGAGATGTAATGCGTCGCAAAGCATTATTTATGGCCGTACAGTTCTTGCTACTCTCACTCATGCTGGCTGATACCGTTGTTTCTGATAACTCCACTTGTGGTTCGAGTTGCGAGAGTAATCGTGAAGTAAACAAGAAGACCATCTTAGTGATGTCACTTTCTCTTGGATTAGTGACTCTATTGTATCTTTTATTAGTAGGTATTTTCGCCTGGGGTATGATTCGTCTGTACCCCAAGCGGGTCTAACACTAATCCTGGATATGTCCTTTGTTTAGCTATATATATATATATATATATATATATATATGGGGGGTGTAATTATACCTTCTTGTCATATTTTATTATTCTTTCATTTATTTGTTTTATGTGCATTTTTGTATCAGTTATTTCTTTTATGTGTGTAATGCTCTCCCAGTTACTAGCTTAGTGCCGCCCCCTTTGAAATAATTTTATCCTTTTCTAATGATACAAACCTTCACTTGCCCTTTAAACGGTTCTATTCATCTTGTTTCGTTTTTTTTTTACTTTTGTTTATTTCTATTTGGTTTCTTTTCTTTTTTTGTTTCCTCTCATCCCTCTCATTATATATATCCATTAAAAAGAAAGAAAGGTAGAGAGAGAGAGAGAAACTAAGACCACTGAATAAGTACCTATATATATATATACACACATACATACATAAATATAGATATATATATATATAGGTGTTTGAGTGTTTTTCCCATGTTTGGTCGTCGTGTGTTTGCGAGTGCTGGCGTGCCGCGTCATGCGTGGGCTGCGCTGCACATTCAAAGCAGCCGCCAGGCCTCCCGCATCCTCCCGTCACTCGCACCACTCGCGCCACTCGAGTGCCGCCGACAGTTGTCCGGCGCCGTCGCGGCCGTAAGTGCATGGCAGACGACACCAGCAGTGAGTGATGCGCTGCTCAGCGACGAGGATTTGCTCCTCTCCTCCACTACTGCCGCAGTTATGGCGTGGCACCGCGGCTGCCTGTCATCTCTTGCAACCGCCTGGTGTATGCCTTTGAGGACCATAGTGTGGGGGCTAGATAATAAACTTCAACATATGAGTAATACACATTGAACAATAACACAATCATCTGGTATATTGTAATGGGGTGGAAAGAAAAAGAGGGTAGGAAGGGGTTTGAAATCCTTTTTTTTTCCTGTAGCTTTTAAGGGTGAGGTGTATGTACGTGGAAGAAGAAAGGGAGAAAGTGGGGTGACACTGAAAACAAAGGGAAAAGAATGAGTCGCTTCTTCCACATTGATTCACAGAGAGAGAGAAAGAGATAAAAAAAAGAAGAAAAGAATGATATATATTATATTGGAAAAAAAAAGAAAGAAATAACTGAGAGAATGAAAAGAAATCAAAGTATTGTGAGAGGATTGATGATAGTTATGATGTGATATGATGATGATGATTAGGTGGTGAAAGGTGAGGTGAAACTTTCCTCCAGATGTAGACTGTCTTGCACGCAGCAGGAGTGCTATAGAGTCTTAGCGGATGACGGAGAGAAGGAGAGAGAAAAGTTAGAAAAATGGAAAAAAGAAGATGACCTGAAAATGGAGGTGAAAGTATTACAAGAATGAAAGGTAATAAGATGATGGATAGTAGTAGTTTCATGAGGTGAAGGATTTTATTACTAACTTGGTACTCATTTATTGTCTCTTGGTGCTTGTGTTAACCCTTCCTTTCAGTATGCATTTTTCTTTTTTTTTTTTGGAATGAAGAAGAAGGTGTAAAAAAAAAAAAAAAAATGGGTGGTGAGCTTGTCCGTCTGAGTTCTTCTGTAGGAGAGCAGAAATTGACTTGGGAGGGGGAAGGTGAAAAAAAAAAAGGGGGAAAATTAGTAACTTAAGCACTCTGTATGTCTCTCTCTCTCTTTCTCTGTGTATATGTCTATATGTATTTCATTCTTGTTTACACTTTTAATCTCACTTAGAGTAAGGGAAAAATAAAATAAAAAATAACAATAATACACTAAAAAAGTGAACATAGAACAAGAAAAAATTTATTTGGTAGTTATTTATATATACAAAATATATTATTATGCTATTCACTGTTCAACCATCATCTGCTGATGCTGATGTCACCTTGGATGGGCTCGCCACAACTGGTAATACCTTAACGCAGCTGCATAACTTTTTTGAACACCACACCTTTGACACCGCTGGACCGTATTCTGACCTTTTTTCTGTATTGCTCTCATGCTGTAAACAATTGGTGGATGCAAACCTCCATCATCATACAGTTCTCGTCAATCAACGACGGGAAATAAACCGCTTATCTTCTGAGACAGAGGCTTTGTGTGATTTAACAGCGCGCTGTCAGGAGCGTATCCGTGAGATGAACTCTTTACCTGCGGAATCTCGTGTTGTGGAGCGCAATATTGAAAACACATCACATCCAGGAACAGAAATTACTACATCTAATGGTGCCGATTTGGTATTCCTTCGGGAACGTATAGATGAGGCGTATAAACGTCTAGAGAAAACAGAGGCTGGTATGGTTGATGTACGCCGTCTTCAAGATGAACTTAAGCAGCAAGAACTTGAGAATCAACGACAACCCCATACGGTTGAAGAACGAGTGAATCAATTAGAAGAAGATGTTAACAAGCTCAGTCGTGGGATTTCAGCTCATGCTGAGTACGTTGATGGCGAAGTTGCTGCAATAAAGAATGCAGTTAGTTCTATATCTTCTTCTGATCCTGCATCATCTTCCGCAGAACCTCTTCTCGAACTCAAACTTTATACTGACAATAAAGTAGAGGCACTGAAAGATGAACTCTGTAGTGCCTTACAAGAAGCTGTTGTAAATGAAGAAATGGAAGACACAAATATCTCTATTGGTCAATCATCTACAAACCCTTCCCATATTGCTGTACCTAAACTTAGAAACTCCAATGAAAATAATGATAGTATGCGAAATAATAATAGTAATAATAATTTAATTACTACCTTGCATCAATTTGCTTTACATACAACAAAACCAACTTCTGATAAAATTGAACAGATAGAGAGTCGTTTGGAGTGTCTGGAAGTGTATGCACCGCATTACTGCGCCATGTCTGCCCGTCCACCACTTTTGGGAGTTGAACTGCGTGATGAAAAGGGAACTGGAATTCGTGTAGATAAGGTATTCCAGGGCTTTGCAGCTGAGGAAATAGGTATGATGCCTGGAGACATTATAATTGCCCTGAATGGACAAGAGGTACTGACGCGAGCGGAGATGTATGCAGTAATGACAGAATTGGCCCGAGAACATCAGGATAAGTGTCGTCTTTTGATGGAATTATACTTCAAACAACATAGTGAACGAAGAATAGGTGATGATGTTACTGCTAATGCTGGTAGACATCGTGTGAGGAATGGGAATACCAATCATAGTGTCCCTCTTGGGGGTGAAGAGGTTAAAGTGACAGATGTATTCAGTTTTGATGATTGCAAATTACCCCAGTTAGAGCTAAAGATTCACGTCAAACGTGGAAGTATACTGCACGAAATGGCATTTCTCGTTAAACCAAATGATAACGCTTCGAGATGAAATAAAAGAAAGAAAAAGTGGTTATAGAACGGAATGAAAGAATATGAAGAAGGATGAGCAATTACAGTAATTTCTCTATGTTTCTATAATTTTATTTTTCTTTACTTTTTTTATGCTAATCATTTGTATATGTCTATCATACCTCTGTCAATTATTTGTTACTTCAATTATAATGTGTCTGTACTATGTTTGTTCTTTTTCTCACATAAACAAACACGTACACATAGTTGCTATCGTTTGAATAATATAAGAGTAATATTCTCTTTTTTTTTTTTGTAGAACCTGTCATACTTTGTTAATAACATAAATTCAATTATTATTTTATTTTTTATTTTCGATTTACTTGATCTCCTTTTTTTTTTCTTTTTCGCTCTGTATCTGCCTGTTCATTTTTTTTTTTTTACCCCTCCTTTGCATTTTATATTTTACTTTACTTTATTCATCTAGGCCTATATTTTCGGTGCAGCTACCCAACTTGACAGGACCAGACGAGGAAGATCAGCAGAGAATATGCGACGACGACTGAGTAGTTTTTTTACCGCACCAGGGCATCTTATCACCAAAGGCCACACCCAAGGCACCAGTTGTGGTAATAACAGCAAACATCATCACTCTCACAGTCACTCTCACAGTCACGGTCATCATCATCATGAACCTCTTGAGGCCACGATGAAAGGACGGCAGTTGCGTCAATGTCAACTTGTCACAGCTGTTGGTGGCACCACAAATGTTTTTTTCTGTTTCACTAAATTATGGATTGGCGCCAGTGGAGGATCTGTAGCTCTGGTTGCAGATGGTTTTCATTCCCTTTTCGATCTCCTTGCAGATGTTGTATCGTATGCAGCACTTACACTATCGACGAAGCGACTTCCTCGCTGTCGATTTCCTTTTGGTATTGGTCGAATTGAAACGGCTGGGGCCGTTGTGGTTGCCACCATTTTGCTACTTGGTGGTGTGACGCTTCTCTTTCAATCTCTTCAAGAGTGTCAGCAGGAATTATCTCATTACATAAATGACGGCGATACTGCCGGTAATAGTATGAATTCTACAAATAACCACCAACACCACCACGGTAGTAGTAGTAGTAGTAATAGTAATAATAGTAATAGTATTAGTAGCAATGGCGATAGTGTTCACGATCACCATGGTCATTCTCATTTTCAAATGACCCAAATGGACGAAACAGGGAAAGTGAGAATATTGTGGGCTATGGTATGGGTCTGTGTTGCGTCAATTGTCAGCAAAGAACTTCTTTTCCGTTGGACAAAACGTGTGGGTGAACGTGCAGGATCTAGAGTTGTTGTGGCAAATGCTTATCATCATCGTGCAGATGCGTGGTCTGGTGGTGTCGCACTCGTTGGTGTGGCAGGTCATTTAATAGGAATGCCGGGTATTGATGGAATTGCTGGACTATGTGTATCGTACAGTATCTGCCGCATAGGGTATAGTGTACTTCGTAATAGTGTATTGGAATTTTTTGATTTTCAAAACGCTGATGAGGTGGCAGAGGTGCGAAAAGAGCTTCGGCAATCACACAGTTCACATCATGTGAATGTTTTCCTCATTCGCCATGGACACTCCTACGCATTACATGCTACTCTTCTTGTAGAAGCAGAAACACCAGCCGCAACAATTGTAAAGATGTCAGCAGACCTCACTGACCTTGCGAAGCAAAGTATTGCGGTAACCGATACGTGTACAACACCTCTCGTTTGTGATCCGCACCAAGAAGCCTCATTACTTCGTATAGTGAAACTTGTAGAGGAATTTCACGGCCTAAAGCCTATCTCATGTCATTGGGAAAAACGCCAAATTATTGTTCATCAGGTGCTTCAAAATGAGTGTATGGAAGATGTACGTACTATTGCCTCGTTTTTTGGAATGGAGGTAATTGTAGAAACCAATGACTCTGATACAATAAGTTCAAATGGGTGCTGTCATTAACGGAAACTAAACCCTCATATACACTGAGAGAGGTGCAATATGCACTATTTGAACTTTTAAGATATTGTGAAATCATAAGATTAATATTTAAATATTTAAGCAGAAGCATAAACAAAACCACTTAAGCTGCGCAAAGACATCATGCTCGTAATTCTCTCTCTTTCTATGTGTGTGTACCCTTTTCTTAGTTTAGTTTTAACTTTTCTTCTGTAATCGAAATGATGGTGTGTTACTGATTAAATTCTCTTATGCACGTGAATCCTTAAAACCTTATTGTTAATTTATTTTTCGTTTCTTTTTCTTTTTTCGTATTTCCATTCTCTTGGACGCGAAAATAAAAATAAAAACACATATTTCTCTTTGGTAGTAGTGGATGTCGTCCTCACCACCACCACCAGTACGGCTATTATTATTATTATTATTATTATTATTATTATTATTATTATTATTATTATTATTATTATTATTATTATTATTGAAATGGATCTCTCTCTCTATATATATATATATGTCCCCATATTTCTCTTTTTCTTATTTTTCATTTATTTTTTCTGCACAGCTATGGATGACGATTTTGATGACTTTGACGGCGAGTTCGACCTCGACGAAAATGAGTTCTTTGAAGAAACATCTGGTAACACGACACACGGTCCTGGAATGGAGTACGGATTACTCTCTGCAGATGATCCAACAGATCGCACTGGTGGATTTCTACCGCACACAAAGAGTGGTGATGGGATGGTGAATGACAACAATGACACTTCTGCTTATGCTGGCGAATCACATAGTGTGGTGCGGCATGACATTCATGAACTCTTTCCCAACGCACCTCCCGGCACAGTCCCGGTGATTGTCGGTATTATTGCACAAGCCAAACTTGGTGAGGGTGTTGACCTTCGTGCCCTGAGCTGCGCAACACGAAATGTGGAATTCATCCCACGCAGTCGTACTCCTGCGGCAACGATGCGACTACATGAGCCCAGTGCAGTTGTGTTGGTGCGCACTTCGGGTTTTATGTCTATCATCGGCGCTGCCAGTGTCAGTGAGGCAAGACAAGCCACCGAACTCGCAGCGCGTATTATTCGAAAAGCTCTTGGTCTTTCTTATAGTACGGTGCAGTTCCGCGTACGTTCTGTTATGGCGCGGTTTAATGTGGGCCATCCCATCCGTCTTGATGAGCTAGCACAGCATGAAGGTGTTTTCTGCAGCTACGAGCCGGATAGATTTAGTGGCTGTATAGTACGTCTTGTGGGGAAAGCCCTCGATAACAGATGGCACGTGAGCTGTACGGTGTTCGTTACAGGAAAAGTAAGTATGGTAGGAGCCCGTAGTCAGGAGGAACTAGAGGAGGCGTTTTACACCTTGCTCCCTATACTTGCACGCTATGCCAAAAAATAGGACACTGACCAAGCTGAGGTATTGCTGGGTAAATATTCTCCATACAATTATGATAAGTAGGTTTCACTACCATGAAGTTAAAAGAAAAAAAAAACAAGTAGAATGACCAAAAAAAAAAAAAAAATGGGTGGTGGGGAAACGGGGAAGAGTATGATTTTTGTTTACAGTTTATCTCTACTGACTATGGTATTTTGTGATGGAGGTAAATTACTTCTTGTTCCATTTTTTTTCTTTTCGTCTTTCTCCCTTTTATTTTGATTCTTCTGCTGAAGAAAAGGTATACCTATTAACAAACTACGAAACACAGAAAACAACAGGTGAGAAGGAAATAAAAACGAGAAAAATAAAGAAATAAAAAGAAATGTCATCTTGGGAAGAAGTGGTCCAGGAAGCTGAAAAGGCTACCAGTCTTAAGGATGTCAAAGGTGTCTACGAAATTCTCCGCAAGGCTGATGAAAGTGGTATTCACCACTCCGAACTATCCTGGCGGTACGCACGTTCTCTCTATGACATGGCGGAAGAAACAACCGATAAGAAGGAACGGGAAAAGTTTTTTAAAGAGGGACTCCAGTGGGCCAAAAAAGCAGTGGAGGAAGATCCCAACATGTATGCCTCGCATATGTGGATGGGTATTCTTCTTAGCTCACAAAATGAGTTTATCAGTACAAAGGAAAAGGTGGCAAATGCCTATATTATTCGTGACCATTTTCTAAAATCTTTGGAACTTAAGAGCGATAATGCGACTGCTCTACACTGTATGGGAATGTGGTGCTGGAATGTACTGCAGGTTGGATGGGTAGAGCGACAGGCGGCAAGTCTTCTATTTGGTACACCACCCACATCCACTTACGAAGAGTGTCTTAAGTACCTTCTTGATGCCGATAAAATTGAGCCCTCTATTCACAACTGTCTCGCTCTTGGAAATGTGTACATGCAGCTAAAGCAGAAGGATAATGCAAAGATCTGGTACCAAAAGGCGCTTGATCTTCCAGCGACTACGGAGGCCAAATTGAGGCAACATGCTGAAGCGAAAAAGAAGTTATCTTCCTGCTGACATAGTGAAGACGTAGAATTTTTTAAAATAAAGTATTACCCTGATAAGTGTTTAAATACGTTTTTGGCTTTTTTTTTCTTTTTTATGAGGATAAGGAGAACAAAAAAAAAAAGTGTTCCTTTGCTATTTGTGAGTTGAAAAATTCGGGTAAAAGAAAAAAAAGAGATAGAAAAGTGGGAAAAAGGGATATCTTCTACCGGCGCGTGCGCTTGCCTTGAAGCAAAAGCGTAATATAGTGATGTTACTACAAATTTTTTTTAAGAATTATTCGTGGTTTTATTGGTTTCTTCTTACTTGGGCCCTTCTTCATTAAGGATGGGTATACATATATATATATATATATATATTTCTCTCTCTCTCTCTCTCTCTCTCTCTCCACTCTATGGAGTGGAATGTAATGCAGTATAGCTCTGTGTAACGGTATGGAAGAATCTGATGTAATGAAACAGCCACAATGGCCACGGCAATTTCAGGTGAGAGATTATGTGTACTCTCATACACAACCGCAGTGGTTTTCAAATGAAGACCCAGTAGTGTTTAGATGTCCTTTGGCCCCTAGTCGTACATGCGCTTCTTGTTCTCAGCCTAAAGAAAATTGCAAATGTAGATTTTGTTTCTCTTGTAATAAAGTTGTGGGTCAGCGACAGTCAACAAGACATCATTGCAGGAAGTGTTGGCGTGCTTTTTGTTCAGACTGCTGGACAAGAGAATGCTATGTACATATGCTGGGTAAACCCGTAAAAGTTTGCGATAATTGCGCTGCTCCTCGTGCCATATCATTTATTGGTAAAAATAAGGGAAATAATATCATGTGGGGTATATATATATTGCAAAGAGCTGCAGATTTGCCTAGGGTTTGTATAACACCATCTTGCTCTTCATACACCTATGGAGCCACATGTCGCAAATGTGGCCTTCCTACGGTATCAACAAAACCGCACGAAAAACGAAGTATTTATATAAGTAAGATTGGTGCAATGGATGCAGAAATGGTAGTGAAGTATTTGGAAGAAAAGGAATCCTCATCACGTACATCTAAAGTCAATTTATATACAGAAGATGATGTGGAAAGGTCATTCCGATCGTGTTTTCCAAGATTTCAGGAATTAGATGCCTTTCAGACAATAGTTTCTTCTCAGGAAGCACAAGATATGTTACTCTCTATAGTCTCCGCAACAGTCTCCTATGAGTATAGAATAGCCCCTAATCTTGCATTATCTCTCTCTGATGTTCCTTACTCAGGTCTTCTTAAAATAATTCGTTCTACACCACGGTTTTCTGTGTTTGAAGCACCTGGAAAAGTTAGGTTTATATCATTTCCAGGAACACATGATTATCGTACATTAACTGTATCTATGAGTTGGAGTCGGGTTGTGAAACAAATAACCCCTCATTTTGTTCACGGTTCTGTTGAGAGTTATGTTTGGACTACTATTTCTGATGCTGCCCCTTCAGCTGAAGTTACTAGTGATAATAATGATTCTTTACTTGATGAATTTCATAAGAGGTTGGAGTTTTCTCTACATGCAGGTTTTGCCCGGGAAGCTGATGAGTGTATGTCACATATTAAAATGCTAGAATATGATTTTCTCCAGGATGGGTATCGTTTAGTTATCTCAGGACATTCTTTAGGAGGTGCTGTAGCACAGATTGTAGCCCTTCGCTTACTCATGGAAAACCCACAATTGTTTAAAAACAAATTGAGGTGTGTTTCATTTGGTTCCCCATTAGTAGGAAACTATCAGTTGGCACAGTTTGTGGAGCAAAATGGATGGAAATCAAACTTTCACCACATTGTATATCGATCCGATGTAATTCCACGCATTTTTTGTGCAGACCAGATGACTCATGATTTAACTGAACAACTTGTGCAACATTTCAATACGCTGCAGACTTCATTGAAACAATGGATATCTTCCTTTTCAGGTTCAAATAAGAAAGAAAATCCAACTGAAATGATGGGAAAAATTGATTGCAGTATTAGAGAAAGTGAAGATCCCCTAGAAGAGGAAATGACGCCGGTATCCGCTAACGAACATCGTAAACATCGTATGTTTGCATGTTTTGGACATTACCACTTTCTCAACTTCCATGGTGTTAATTACTCTTCAACAAATGATTCCGAAACGGCCTTCCACACTCTGAAAGAAGGAGGTGGAAATGGAATGAATATGGGGGATCACTTTCTGTCATCTTATAATAGAGCAGTTATGCTTCACTTGTATACAAAATGAAATATAAAGTAACTCTTAGTTATAGTAAATCCTCATTCCATTATTGTTATCATTATGTAAGTTATGTTACTGCTACAATGATTAATTTAGACCATTATACTGTTTGAAAATGTTTTTTTCAACTTTCTCTTGTTGTTTCCTGATATAATTTCCTCAAGTTTGGTTCTGTTTTTATTATACCTACTAACCCAAACTCTTTGGCAAACTGATTATTGTTTCTAATATTGTTTTTTTTTTTTTTTTTTTTTTTTTTTTTTTTTTTTTTTTTTTCTTTTTTTTCCTGGGGAAAGATCCAAAATAGAAAAAAAGGATATGGCAAGCCATCCGTCCCGCATCGAAAAGTCACCATACCCAAGTGGTTACGGGGACTGACTCGAAATCAGTTGCGATCTCGCGCGCAGGTTCGAATCCTGCTGGTGACGGTTTTTCGAAATACCAACACCAAAAAGAAATGAGGAATTTTTAAATAACCTTAAGGCAAAGGAAAAGAGGAATAAAAAGACCCTCTCAATTGATTAAAAAAAAAAAATGGTGACCCTCGTTTTTCTCATACAAAAAGGAATAGCAAAAGTAAAAGGAAATTAATGTTGGTGTATTTTATTTCCCCACTTATCGCCCGTCAAAGGGGAAAATGACGACAAAATAAAACCGCGATGGTTCCCAAAGGCCGCCTGTTCTCTAAAAACATTTTTCTTGCTTACCCT